TATTTATAATTTATTTATAAAATTGGATCCATAAGTCTTAATATTATTCTAATTAATGTAAACATTCATTGAGAACTTGAAAAGTTGAATGCATAGAAATAGTTTGCTTGATTTTTCTCAATTTGATAAAAAAAAAAACAGTCCCCTGGCAAACAGTCACCTGTCATGTTATATGGTAAACGATACACAAATATCGAAAAAGCAAAAATTAAATTGGCTGTATATTTATTATGATTAAGCCGATAGTTTTGTAGCCCTTGTTAATTTTTTTTCTAATAAAATCAAAAATCATTTGGTCGGACAATTTTGCGTCTCCACGGGTACAGTCTAGCGTAAAAATTATCGATTACTTAGCTACAAGCTCATATACTTTTTCGGCACGTATAATCTCTAATTTTTTGACAATATTGTACTATGACAACGACCTTAAAGAAATAGATCAGTTATTTTTATTCAAATCTTCGATTTCGATCCTGATAAATAAACACTAAATAATTTTTATAACATTAACAAATAATTAATTAACAAATTCCATCCATTTTATATCAATTCTTTATTTTTCATACAAATTATAAACATGTTTTTTTTATTTATTTTTTTTTTTTTTCAAATACTGTACATATACTGAATTTAATTATACTTTTAAATCTCTAATTTAATGATATATCTTTTATTTTATTTTATTCTCATTTACTCGTAAAATCGTCTACTTTGATCCTCATTTCGTTCTATTAATAATTATTAATAATATACAAGTGTTTTTCTTCACACAATGCTTTTTTTTTTCATTTATTTATTTTTATTTTATGAACAAGCTCAATTATTTGATATGGCAGTTCCAGGATAGAAAAAAACAAATAGTTTTTTAAATTATTTGACAAAAAAGAAAATTACTTATTGTAACAATATATTCTTCTTTTAATTAATTTAAATTATACGATCAATGCACCCTCACAAATACGATTACAAAATAACCATTTTTTAATTTTTAATCAAGTATATGTATATTTTATAAATTTTATAAATTAGTCAGTAAATTATCAAATTTAATAGTAACTTAATTTTATAAACAAATAATAAAAAAACATTCATTATTTTAATGATAATTATGTAGATGTGTGTGTGTCTATCTGTAATTACCTCTCTCAAATTGAATTTATCACAATAAAAATTTTTGAATTTCTCTTAATGGCCTCTGGAACTTGATTAATAAGAATGATGGTCATCTATTTACAATGTTTAATTATTTCTTCTTTAATTTTTCTTTTCAACGAAATTCAGTAAACGATATATCGCCTGTATTTGAAATACAATTACGAGCTGCTATTTAAATTTTTATTTATTGATTTTTTATCTTAAACTACATCTGCCGATATCATTAATAATTTTATTTAAAATTTTGATATCATCAATATAGAATGAGAGAGTACTATTTGCTATCTTCGCAGAAGACATAGATAAATATATATTTATTTTTTTCATAATCTTTTCTTATGTAATTCACTTAATTAATTACTGTTAATAATAATCTTGTCGGTGCTCATTTTTTTTTTTATTCATGTACTTCTTTTTATTTATTAGTATAATTATTATTATATTATAACTGTTATTATTAATTATTCCAACAAAAAAATTTTGACTTTTAGTTTTACACCGGACCGATTTTTTCAATAATACTATTGAGAATTGTATTTATTTTTATACACTATTTATCTATCATCTCAATAGTATAATTGACTAATTTATTAATCAATATTTTTTAACTGATAATAATTAACAAATTAACAGCTTACACGGAAAGAATAACATTACACTGGATATCACCCCAGATTATACTCAGTGATATCTGGATTATGCCCAGTATAATCTTGGATTATAACCAGTGATATCTCCGCTATTTTTTTTTTAGCGACTGCGCACTTAGCATTATCATATCTATTATGTATTTTAGATATTAAGACAGTCAAATATTATTTTAAATATTATCTAAAAATTTTTTTCACCATAGATATCACTGAGTATAATCTGGGATGATATCCAGTGGCATCTTATTTTTTCCGTGTAGATATCAAAAAAAATAAAACTAAGAAGTACAAAAGCTGCCAATGAATTTTTTACCATGCAAATTTAATCAATCAAATTAATTTTTTTATTACACAAAATTAGTAAAATAATTTTTTTTATTTTACTCCTATTTTAGGTAATTAATTAATTAATTTAAAAAAAAACAAAAAAAAAAAAAAAAAAAACAGGAAATATTTCTGACTAAAGAGAGATCAAAATAAATTGCCACTTATTTGTCCGTAAAACTTAGTTACAATACCGTAATTATAATTAAATATATACTTAAAATATGTTTCAATTAATCGATTCTTTTTTTATCAAATAAAATTGTTAAGCTAATTATAAATCAATATTTTTCACAAGAGATTCATGAAAAAATAATTTTATTAATTATGTAATTTTAAAAATTTAATTGCTTAATTGTGAATCGATTGTTTTAATAGTACTGAGTTGTGTATTTTAAGTACCAAACTTAAATAATTACATTACAGCTGGTAAAAATCTGTTGTAAGAGATGTTTAATTGAAAAATTAGTTGATTGAATGTTTGTTTTTTTTTTTTAATGCTATGAGTAACCAGAGCAATTGTTATAAACTTTAATAACTATTTTAATTGTTTAGTGTGTAATTACTGTAAATAATAAAAAGATAAAAACAAACAGTTACACTAAGTAAGAAATTCAGCCACGTTATTATAAACTATAGAAAAAAATATTTATGAATCCTTACAGTACACAATACAATTATAAGAATTACAAACACATAGCGCCTATTTGCTACCTGAAGTTTGGGTGGGATCGCACAAAAAATTATTATTTTAATTAATAATTAAGAAATTACCAATCAAATTAATCGAACAACATATAAACATCAAACTGCACAATTTTACAGCAACACTTTTTTTTTTCACGTTTTTTAAAGTACAAAAAATTAATTGTTCCATTCATTTTTATTTTGATAATTATTTACAAGTGTGAAAAATTAACATTTTCAAAAAAATGTCGTAAAAAAAAGAATTTAAGATTTCGATAACTTTTTTGCCTTCAAAAGTTGGAAAAAATTTTAATTCATATTTTTGGATAAAATTTCTATTTTATCTTTTTTTGGTATATTTTTTTTTAAGTACAAAAAGTTGAAAATTTATTAAAATTGTGATAATTCACTTTTTTTTTTTACAATGTCGACGATTGTTCGTTTTTTTATGTATTATTCAAAAAAAAAATATATATCAATAAAATCAAATAGAAATTTTGTTCAAAAAAATGGAAATTAAAATTACCCACTTGTAAATATTTACCTTATTTTAAAAAAATTTTTGTATTTTTTAAAAATACCTGAACAATTTTTAAAAAAAATTTTTTCAAAATAAATAATTTTTTTTTATAAATATACAAATTTTTATAGTCAAAAATTTTTATTTAAATTTGAATAGAAAAATTAATTTTTAATTTTTAATAAATGTAATTAATTTTTGTGGTTTTTTTAAAAAAATGATGAAAATTTAACATTTTTTAAAAAGATATAATAAAAATTAATTTTTAATATTTTATATGCTATGAAAAAATAGTGAATAAAAAATCTATGCTGCAAAATGACAGTCAAACTATTTGACAAAAAAAATTGATAATTGAAAAACTAATAATTAATGTATTGAAAAATTTAATGAATAGTATTTTAAATTACAAAATTTACGTTCTTAAAAAAATTTTTAGATTTCATTCATATCTTATCAACTTTCATTTAATTTTTAAAATTATAATCACTTAGATAGCTTTATACAAGATAGATCATTTATAACAATGTTAATTGTAATCATTGCATTAATATTAATATTTATTAACATATATACTCTTAGCCGCAAATATATGTATATTTCATTTTATCAATAAATGTATATGTATTATTGTAATAATTATTATTGTATGTCCAAAATAGTTGAAGTAACTCTGATTAAAGTATAATACTAAACTGTATTAATCATTTATAAATAGTACTGGAGTCAACCCAAGATCACGTGTGCTAATTTTTATTAATAATTCTATTAAATATTCCTCATAAATACTTTGCGGTATTTTAATTACTCATTTTTTTTTTTTTCATTCTAATTATTGTCAATTCCAACATTTGCACTAAATTTTGATTGCCAAATGTCACATTTTTTTTTCTTTTTTCATTTTTTCAAAACTAATTTACAAGAACAAAAAAAACGTACAAACAAGTTACAATTATAATTAAATAGTACAATAATTAATTTCACTTAAAACTTCATTTAAACAAATGAAAATTGAATAAAAATACTCACTGGTAAACAAAGACCCGGGTTGATCCAGTAATCAGTGCATTCAATTTTGAATATATAAATTTCTATATTTATTTATTTATATATATATATATATATATATATATATATATATATATATATATATATTTAATATTAAAAAAAAATATTTGAAGTTAATTTATAAATATACCCTTTCGGATAAATGAGTAACGTAAATCATTTGAGATCACAGCTTACAAACGAATTCATAAGTATTGATTTACGTTATCACGATAAAGTAACAATATAAAACAAAAAAAAAGTTAAAAGTTTTGATCCAAGTACACCATACCTGATGATACATTTAATACACAAGTATGTAATAATAACATACTAACAATGTGTATTGTAGCGGTACCAGTTGTTACTAATAAAGTTGTAGTTGCAGATAATTAGTGAATAATATTTATATTATTGTTCTTATTTTTTACTGATAGATATATAAATATATATCTTAGTAGTGATATATATGTATATATGTCACGTAAATGTATGCGAGTTAATAAACATTTACAAGCGTAAATGTGTGTATATATAAATGAATGATTAAATGTAGTGGTGGTAGTGGTAGGCACTGATGGGGGTGGATGGCTGCATGGCGAGCAGATTTTATCAGACTAATCTTTGACCAGTTTGTATATGTGATGCTGAGCACCATGTTCAGACGTCGACACTTCAAAGACATACGCTGTACACAGTAACGTTTCTTGTGTATCTCTATTTGTAACAATCTGCAATTTATTTTTTTATATATTAGTATTTTTATTTAATATTAATAAATTTTTTTAAGTAAAGCTATTTGGTTCGACACGTAATTAAATTATATTTTATTATTTATTAGATAATTTTCACCTGTGGCATTACATGTGTTTTTAAAATATTAAAATAATTTTTTTAGTAAATTTAATCTAAGTTTAATATAATCTATATTATTAAGAGAATAAGAAAAATTTTGTGTCCAGGATAGTCATATAATAAAATCGGTTTTTTTAGTGAAATTTCGGGTCGTTGCAAAGGTTGTGCCTTTTCAAGGTTTCATATCATTTTCACCGATAGTCATTTTATTATTATTAGTATTTAGGCTGCATTCGAAAATGCTCCATTTCTAGATACATAATTAAGAAATGACCTTGTATCTTGTGAACTATTGACATTTTTACAGATATAAGCTCACCCCGACATTACACTCATCAAGACCTTTCATTTGAGTACCCACATCAATTTTTCATATATTTTATATATTTATGTATATTATATATATATGTAAATATGAAAAATATATCAAAAATGCATGTGGGTACTCAAATGAAAGCTCTTGATGAGTGTAACATCGGGATGAGCTTATATTTTTAAAATACATATTACATATATGTATGTTTGAAAAATATATCAAAAATGCATGTGGGTACTCAAATGAAAGCTCTTGATGAGTTGAACATCTTATATTTTTAAAAACGTCAATAGTTGAGAAAGTAGAGTGCAATTTAAGAAAATCATTGTGTAATAATTATAATTTTATGTATATCATTTTTGCCATTCGGCTTTGTGCCTTGGCATTTAAACCTAATAAATAAATAAATAAATAAATAATCCAAAATTTTATTTATTTATAGTTCACAATTCTCGGCAGTCACATAGTGACTGTAAGGTTGCTAGTTTTTAATTAACTTGAGAATGTAAAAAAATAAAATTATTCAGGTTTAAAAATGCAAAAAAAATTTTTTTGTTCGACGTGCACTTTTTTAACTTTGAAAAAAATTTTTTTCACAGTCAAAAAAGCTTGAAAAAATAGTTTCAAGATCTCAAAACATTAATATCTAATTAAAAATTGATTTTTGGAGAACTGTAAACACTAATCCCAATTTTTTGATTTTTATCAACGAGGAATTAAAAATTTTACTTCTATTTTTTTCAATAAATTTCTACAAAATATGAAAAATTGAAAATTTTTTAAAATTGCCTGTGTAAAAAAAATTGTCGTTTATTTAAGATCTTAAACGTGACACAAATCAAGACTCTTTTGACGCGAAAAAAAAAAAAATTCCAAGAGCAGACAATTAATTTTTAGACATTTTTTAGACGATTTTGCGAGCTTCTTTAAAAAAATCTTAAAAAAAAATTTAGAGACTATTTTAATATGAGCTTACAGCGACAAAGCTCCGCCAAATTTTTATGAAGCGTCTTAAAAAAGTCTTGAAACGATTTTAAAAAAATCTAAAAAGCGAGTTTTTAACCACAACATTTTTGGGTATGCTCTTTTCAAATTGAATTTGAAATTGTTTAAAAATTGTTGTGTCTTGGTTTGTGTCACGTTTAAGATCTTAAACAAACGACAGTTTTAAGACGATTTTTTTTACACGGGTGGGATGGATTAGTGTTTTTAGTCTAGCTTAAAAAAATCAATTTTTTATAAGATCAAGAAATTTTGAAGTTCTATAAAAGCTATTTTTTGTCCATTTCTTCATAAAAGCCCCCTTAGCTTACAAAGCTTTTTGCGTTTTTTGAAAAGATTTTTACTTTTTTTTTATTCCTCAGATTAGAAAAAAAAAATTTTTCTACACGTTCTTTTGGTATTAATAATTTTTTGTAATTTTATCATTTTTCTGATAAATTAAAAAAAATAATTAATTTTCAATATTATAAACAAAAATTGTGAAAAGTAAAAATTTTATAAATAAAGGTTAAATTTTTTTTTTTTTTTTTTTTTAATTTGTTTAAAGTCGCATAAACTACTAAGGTCATGAGCGACTACGGTAGGGGGTAAACTTTTGAGATTGGAACTCGTTTGTATTTCTTGGGCTGAGCAGAATAATATACACTTAAATATTGAAAATATTCATTGGTGTACGCCGGATTCGAACCCGGTCCAATGCTTTGGTAGCAAAGGCCGGATCCGATAGGCTACTGCGCGCCTAAAGGTTACAATTAATTTGAAAAAATAATCATGAATAACGATCGATGATTTTATTAAAAAAGTTTGGAAAATCCAAATGAGCATGCCTTAAGCGCTCATGTCATACATAAAATATTTAGATCATAACAAAAATTATTGGTTTTTAATTTGAATTTTCCCGCGAGTAGTATTATCCCCTCTGTAGGTCGAACTAAAGAAAAATTTTAACAAATGATAAAACAGTTAGTAATTATACAATCATGTATGTATAGTTTCTGCTTGTTTATAGTTATTTCAATTCTGTTTATGAAAAATAATACGTATGGCTGCCGAAATCGCAGAAAAAGTCACCGAACTGACAATCGAAAAAAATTAACTGTATCGAAACGGAATTATTTTGACACGCAATTTTCACAAGGGTTTTGATAAACTTCCTCAGGAATAAAACAAAAAAATAATTAAATCGTGAAAGTGATTTTTGACAAAGTTGTGGTGTTGTCAAGCCCATAGCTCCCGTGAATACCACGCTCGTATTCATTTAATTCATCAGAAAAACGAGTTTTTTCTGAGAAATCTTATTTAATCGACAAGAAAATTTTTTTAATGTGTTCTATAGTTACTATTATTTATTTCAATATGCTTTTTGTCCATAATTTTTTTCGTTTAAATTATGAAAATCACGTTTTAATCGAAATCACGATTTTTAGGCGAGAGTAGAGCATACCTGCGCGCTTCGCGCTTAAGGCATGCAATATGATTATATCAATAATTATCAATAAATAACAATAATTAAGTGCTATTTATTTAAAAAGTCAAACTAGAATTTTAAATAGCAAAAATTCTTTTGAACCAAATAGCTCAATCTTTCCCATGAAGCAAAAAATTCAATAAAAAAAAAAAATTACCTGAAGAATTGTGAAATTCTCAAGAACACTGTTCATCATATATTTTTCTGGCAGATGCTTGAGTTTGTGAATAAAGTTTATCATGTATTCACACATAGGCGAACGACTGATACGATAAACAAACCTTCCATTCTCAAACCTTGCATATTCAGTCTCCACCTTCTCTACCACTTGTTTTCCAAACGAACATACTTTTGTCGAACATGTTATCGTCATGTTCTCGGTGCTTTCATATCTGTAATTAATCAAGTAAATTCCAAAATTAATCATATTAGTAATAAATATTTATAACAAACAATTAAAGAAAAAATTTATCTTAAAAAAAATGATGTAATAAAAAATTAGTCTGTTGAAAATTTTAAATAATTTTATTTCTAAGCTGAAGAAATAAAAATTTTTTTCACAGTAAACTTTTTCATTGAAAAAAATTTTTTTTACTTTAAAAAAAAAACAATTTTAGACAGGAAATTTTGCAAATTTTTTTTACAAAAATTACTGTGAGAAAAATAATCATTTCTTCAGCCAAGAAATAAAATATTCAACAAATTAATTTTTCACTGTGACAATGTCTATTTTTATCAAAAATAAATTTTTTCTCTTAGGGTATGAAGACAACTTTAAATAAAACATACTGGCTTGTTACACCATAGAAAGCGCCCGCCTCGTCTTGGATATTTGTATTGAGATCCGCCCAAAATTTAACAAGGAAGAAAGCTGCTTGTGGTCCCTTATCATAGAGCTCTTTTAAACCTCCTTTCTTTTCTGGAAATTTGTCATAAATTTGCCTGACATCAACGGCTTCTAGAAGTGGATCCGTATAAGTCGCTGATCCTCCTATGTGGACGAACAAGTGTTTATGGTACTGAAAAAAATATTAACGAATTGATTTAAAGAAATATTAAATAATTAATTATTTGTCCTAAAATTGTTTTAAAAATATTTCATATTTATTCTCAAAATATTCTAAAATTGTCCTAAAAATGTTTCATCCATTCATTTTCGGACAAATTTACAGCTGTGCAAAAATAAATTATTACTTTTTAAAATCATTTAAAAATCGTTCCAAAAATGTCCTAAAATTGTTCTAAATTTATCCAAAATTTATTCTCAAATTGTTCAAAAAAATGTTTTAAGATTATTAAAAAAATGTCCCACACAAGATTTTAAGGACAAAATTTTGACTGAATTATTTAAAATAAAACGCGTTGATTCTAAAATTATCTTAGAAGTATTCCGAAAATCTTAAAAAAAAAAATTACTTAAAATTCACGAAAAAATTCTTAAAATGCACTATTTAAAAATTTCCGATTATTGTGATGCTCCAAAATTGTCCAAAAAAATGTCCCTCATTGTGTCACGTTTGAATGTCCACACTAGGGACAATTTTTTTTACACGGGGTAAATTTACTTTTTATTTTTATGCAAAATGATAACTTGAACTTACAATGTCTTGATCTCGATGCTGATCCATATATGCTGAAAACTCGACAAGTCTCAGCTTATGTGTGGCAATGGAACGTCCTTCCCAGGGTGGAGGTGGTTGTGCCTGTACCATGTCACCGCTAGATACCGCAGTCGCTGGTTTTCCCGTGTAAGCTGGCTGTGAAAATGGCTTGACATCTTGCGATGTTCCGGGTTGCAATCCAGGTTGCCAGAAGTTCTGAAAACAGTAATTTATTATTCAACGAGTCAAGTATATTTTTTATTAGTAAGTTAAAACACATATACTAGTTTAGTATATAAGTATAAAACATTTTTAAAATATCACAAACAGAAGAATAGCATTTTTTATTTTTTATTTTGGTACAAGATAATTAAAACAAAGAACAATACACAACAAGTGCCCCCTAAAGGCGAGCAACAGCACGGGGTATTATTTTAGATTAGGAATTTATATTGTAAAAGATAGTGTAGGTCAGAAATAAATAAATATAAAGCACTAGAATTATTTGCATTATTTGGCTTTAAAAGATTATTCTACTTTTTAACCTTTTTTTTTACATTTATCGAAAATACATAAGGTATAAGTCCCTATTATTGACAGGGTCCCCACTATTGACACCCTAATTAATTTTATTATTTCATTATTAAAATCTGTTAATAATCACAATTGTTGTTATTTCATGACAATTTTACATATTTTGAAAATTAAAAAATAGTAAAATTTAATTTCAAAGTATGAACAATTTACTACAAAAAATTTCATTTTTTCAAGTAGGCCAAAATTGTTTATACGTTTGTAATTTCTTAACAACATCGTTAAGGGGGGGGGGGGTAATGTTAATTCGTACAAAAAAAGGCATATTTTTGTGATTTTTTTGCGACGACGTAGTTAAAATCTCTTTATTAAAGCTAATGGTACAGTATAATATGACATTCGAAGAATATTATATAAAATTTTCACGAAGACATATTAAAAATACGGCAATGGCAGCAATTATTCGGACGTGTCTCGGAAAAAAAAGTAGAATTGGGTTTTTGAAAAAAAAAAAAATTATTGATTTTTTTTTATGTATTTTAAAACTTTATTATTAATAATATTGATATTTAATGCAAAAAACTTAAAAAAATTTTTCTTTCAATTAATTATAGGGGAGGGGGGGGGGCAAAATGGGGTACTTAAGCAATCGTTATGATTTTAAGGACTTAAATACGCTGATTTTTCTCGTTTTCAGTCGTAATTAAAGGAAAATAATCAAATTTCAAGTTGCCGTAGAAAAAAAAAATTTTTTTTTTGCGGGCAAAATGGGGTACTCCCTGAAAGAGTGAAAAAAAAATTTCTTCATCCGAAAATGAAATATCGTTAAAAAAATAACATTTTCTTATCGATAAGTCTACGAAAGAACCCAAAGAGAGGAACAAATCACCCAAAAAAGAGACATTGTTAGTTGAAGCAATATATTCCTAACAAAAATTGAAGTAGTAAAAAAAATTTTAAAACTTTGTCGTAATTTTTGACGGGTTTCGCTTGAATAAAAATACTTCAAAGTCTTAAAAAATTTATTTAGTCGTATATATACGGCTCAGTATGTGTACGACTCCGTACATGTGCAGCTCCGCAAACGTGCGACTTTTTCAAATTCAAAATATGAATTCCCCGCTACTTTCATTTAAGACCGTAAGTTTACGGATCCGTATGCGTACGACTCCGCATGTGCACGGCTCCGTATACGTGCGACGATTTTTAAATAAAATTTGAATTTCCCGGCGGTCTGTGGCGCTCCGTACGCATACGGAGCCGTATGTATACGGAGCCGTATCTATCTTTTTCCGTACCTTTAGCCACATCCGTATTTATTTTAAAATTTGAGACTATATTGATATCTTCGGAGATTAATTGTTACTCGTTTTGTAGAGATTTATTAGCTATATCGGAAAATAGTTTAAACCGTGTTTATCTTTTGGGTGCCGTTCATAATAATTTGCCATCACGCAAGCTGCCTAAAAATGGCGACGTTTTGAATTATTTTATGTTTAAGTATAAGATCTTAAAGAAGACAGTTTGTGAATGTGCTGCAGAGATTATAGATGAAGTTCAAGAAATTTGGAGTGATATGAATACACCATTGATAAAACATCAACATGCAATTAAAAAAATGGAAATGCTATTTACAGAATGGAGAAATTTAGATAAAAGTCGACTTAAAAAACATTCGGAGTTTCATCTGTTGAAAATAAAAAAATTTACTGATAAACTAAATGAATTATTTGATGTGAGATTAAAAAAAGATATATCTCATGACTCCTGTCCTGAAAAACTGTTTTCGTTAGTAAGAAGAAGTAAAGGCCGGTTAACACCAATACCAGATGACGTAGAAGATGAAAGTTTTCCTCTTGAACCAATAGAGAACGATATTGATGAAAATGGTAATTATTATTAACTTCTTATATGCTGACAAGACATTAAAATCTAATTTTTCTTAAAGTTTATTATTTAAAAATCTAATCATTCAATATTTTTTTCAGTCTTAAGTCAAGCTTTATCTGACACATCTATTTCTTTTGAAGAATTGAGCAGATCATCTTCTAGTTCTTGTTCAAGAGCACCAAAAAGAACGATATCTAATTTTGAAGACGAACTTCCGCAAAGTTCACATGAAAATAAAATAGATGTTATGACTCCCGAATTATCATCAGCTTTGGACAGATCAAATGTCTCTAGCAGAAATGCTGCTTATATCGTTATCGCTGTCGCAAAAAGTTTGGGTCATGATAACAAAATTAATGTTAGCCATAGGTCAATACATAGAGATCGTAATAAAATGAGAAAAATGATGGCGACAGATATAAAAAATAATAATTCTGCTGTCCAGAATTTAGTATTACACTGGGACGGTAAATTGCTCCTAGATTGTGGTGTCACACTCAGGGAGTGGGTATCCAAAACTGATATTCGGTCACAGAATAAACTTAATCAACTAATTAATGCTAAGTGAGAGGAAAGAGGCTAGGTTGTAGAAATTATTGGCACGGCACAAACACAATTAAATCAAATAAATTAACAAGTTTATTCCCAATGACTCTACGATTAATAACTTGACAATTAACTCCCCAGAATAGAATAATTGGGTTTTTGAAAAAAAAAAAATTATTGATTTTTTTTATGTATTTTAAAACTTTATTATTAATAATATTGATATTTAATGCAAAAAACTTAAAAAAATTTTTTTTTCAATTTCCCCTAAACAATTAAAAATTGATGAAATTTAAATAAAAATCACGTGACTATAAACGCGCCATGATTGGTCACCATAGTTGTGACGTCATAATGTTATAGCTATTTAATAACAGTACAGCGTTTACGGCTATTACACGTGACTAGACAATAATATTGAAAATTTATTGCTAAAATACGAGTTGTTAGTTGGTTCCGATTAGCTATGTGTGATAAAGGATTTATTAAGGCAAAGTCTGATAATATTCCTGATGTTGATATATTTATGATAACCGATTTTTTAAAAAATGACGTTCGGTTTAATTCTGCTGAAGTTCGAGGTGCCAAGGCATCAAGGTAAGTCTGTTAAAAAATAATATAATAAATGAAAATATTTAAGTATTTATTCTCCATTACATTAAATATAATTATTTATTTCATAAATTGTAGAGCATCGCGTGAGAGTTACGGCGACAAAGCTATAGGTTATGTTCAACTAAGTCGTAAAAATAATATTTGTATTGTAAAAGGACGGGTATGTCCAGAACACCGAGTTCGGAGTAAAGCTTATTATCAGTTACTTTAACTATTAATGAAAAGTCAAAAAAAATTCAGAATGTTCAATGCCATGACTGTGCAGCTTCAGCAGGTAATTTATACTCCTATTAAATTTAAATTTTTTGATGTTGTAAGCAATAATAATCTTTTATATTGTGTCTACAGGTGGTTGCAAACATGCATTAGCATTACTTATGTGGACCCATCGTAGAAGTGAAGATCCGACACCAACAGAAGTCGCTTGCTATTGGAAAAAGTCTCGATTATCAGGCATTGGTACAGTTATAAAATATATTGAAGCAGAAAAACTGACAAAAAAAAACCTCTACTACTCCTGTTGAAAATTTTCCGGATAACAGTACATTTTTACAAGAAGTTGTTGAATTTGCCAAAAATCAACAAATAAATTCTCAAATTGGGCAATTAAATTTTGATTTAGAATCCAAAAAAGCTTACAATTTATCGTTACATCGATTAATTTTGGATTTTAATCAAAATATTGATTTGCGAGTAGAGAAATTTTTGGAATTCGCTAAAACTGAAATGGCAGAAGATGTGTGTGAAGAAGCTGAACAGCTAACCAAGCAGCAAAGTAAATGTGTAATTTGGCATGAACTTCGTTATGGACGCATTACTGCATCAAAATTTTATGAAGCTGCTCATTGTAAAAGTAATAATGGTTCGCTAGTTCAACAAATCATTGGTGCAAGTAAAGTTCATGAGACAAGCGCTATGACACGAAGAAAAGAGTTAGAAAAAGATGTAATCGAAGTTCTTGAGAAAGAATTAAGAGTAAAAATAACGCGTCCGAGGATGTATCTTGTACCTAGTCATCCGATTTTTGCATATTTAAATATTTAATAATGACAACAAAATTAAATAGATCAAAACACTGCATTCATTATTTTCCTATCAACTGCATTGAGTGAAAACTAACATTATGACGTCACACGCGCTCGGGTTTGTTCGGGAGTTGTCGGCGTGTCTTCGGTACTGGATTCAAAAATTAATTTTTATTTTGAAATAACTTTTGAATTATTGCAAAAAAAAAAAAATAGTTTTGTTATAAAACTAATATATAATCTTTCTATTTATCACAAAAAAAAATTTTTTTCAAAAACCCAATTGCGGTGCCCCTCATAACTTGGTGCTGGATCATCTAAAATCAAAAAATGATAGTTCATTCGTTAAATAATAGTTTTTCCCAAATAACGCTGTTGAGATTTTTTCGAAATTTCAATTTTTCACTTTTTTGGAACACTTTGAAGGAAAAAATACCACTTTTACAAAAAAAAAAAAAAAAATCGGCTAATTTGAGCCTTTAAAGTGTTCCAAAAAAGTGAAAAAATTGAAATTTCGAAAAACTCTCGATAGCTTTACCTGGGGAAAACTAATATCTAACGAATGAACTATCATTTTTTGATTTTAGATGATCCAGCACCAAGTTATGAGGGGCACCGCAATTGGGTTTTTGAAAAAAATTTTTTTTTGTGATAAATAGAAAGATTATATATTAGTTTTATAACAAAACTATTTTTTTTTTTT